AAAGGAAAAAGAAAGAAAGAAAGAAAAAGAAAAGAAAGAAACTTGATCTAATCAGAGTGGTAGGGCTGGGACTGGATGTGTGCTGGTGGGCGGCAGCGACTCTGGGTTAGTGAGAAATGAGTCCTTGTGGTGGCAGAGCCCTGACCCAGAAGGCCCACTTGTTACGCACCATAAAGCATTTCAGAAAGTCAGGGCAGCCTCAGAGATAAAGGCGGGTGAGGGCAGCTTCCTAAATAGCACTGAGCATCTGGGTTCATCAAGGAACATTCTTCCTTCCCTCCCGGATGGCCCCTATGGTCTTCATCTCAGCACACACAAACTGTCCTTCCTGGTGCCGAGGCCTGGGCAGCTTCTATTGCCCACCCACAAACCACCCTCAAACCCAGGGTTGAGAGCTGACCAGACCGCCTCACCTCCTAGCTTGGGCCGTTGTCCTCTCCTTGCATGGATCCCAGCAGTACACCCTCTGAGCCCACCTTCTGTCTAAAAGTGCAAATCAGATTGAGGCAAAACCCTCAAATGGCTTCACACGTCACTCAGAGCAACAGGTCACACCTCACAATAGCCCCTCCCACTCACCCGGCTCTCTCTGCCCCCTCCCCCCGTCTGTGACCTTTCCTTACTCGCTGTGCTCAGAGCCACAGGCCTTCTCCACAGGCAGGCCCAGTGGTGCCCCAGGGCCTTTGCACTTGCTGTTTTTGTCCCTACCTCAGGGTGTTTATAGTATTTCTGAGCCCTGTTCCATACCCCCCTTTCCCTCCTGGTTTTCCATTTACTTCTTGTCTTTCTCACCCTAAATAAACTTCACGGCTCTGGTCCATTTCCTGTTGAATCCTGAAGGACTTGGAACAGAAGCTGATGCACAGGGGTGCCTGATATTTATGCAAAGGAAGAAAGAATGAGACCTTCACCAAATGACTGTGAAACAGAGCAGCCCCAGGCAGAAGGGGAGGGAGCCATGCCTCTGTCCTCTGCTGTGGGTAGTGGCCCTGCGTCTTGTGTTGATCAGTATGCAAAGAAATGCAAACTATAAGATTCCACTTTAAGAAATGGCAAACTTCGATAATACCCATAAGAATAAGGTTTCTGGTGCCATAAAAAGTTCCTAAGCATCAGCTTAATGCTTCTCCTTTTTTAGGCTTGTCTTTGAGGAAACATAGGGAGAGCTCGTGGAACTGTGATCATTACAGGGCTATTTATAAAATTTGTCTGTTGTGGTGGCACACACCTGTGACCCCAGCATTCTGGAGGCTGATGCAGGAGGATCTCTGTGTATCGAAAGCTAGCCTGGGCTGAATAGCAACGGGTTACAGCCCCAGGGCAGCAGTTGACTTCCTCCCCAAGTGGCCGAGGTGGGTGAGGGGCAGGGAGGCCAACAAACACCCCAAGTTGCCATGGTGGCACTCACATCCCACCTGGGCTGCCCACTCTCCGGCTGCCCCGCCCCTCCTCAGGCTGAGAGCTGCAGCCAGAGTCGAGGACGCTGTAACAGTGACGCTCCCAACCCTCTCCTCGCCGGGAGGGGAGGACAGACCAAGGCCCAGCCACAGACAGGTGCGGTCAAAGGAGAAGCAGAAGCTGCCCAGCTGTGCACACGGAGGAGACTGGGCGGGGCTGTCCTCAAGGTGGGCGGTCCCCTGCCTGCTGAAGGAAGGCTTTTCCCACACACAAAGGCAATGACTCAGGTTCACTATGGACAACT